CTAAGCAACTGTTCCTTACAAATCCGGCCGGCAAAAGGCCCAGGGGACGGCCAAGATTAACCTGGTGCAATCATATGGAAGGACTCTGTTCCAGACTCCATTTGTTTTTTGCCGAAGCTCAGACTCTGGCGCAGGATCAGGAACGTTGGAAGCACTGTCTGACGCGTCTGCCTCCGCGACCCGAAAGGAGAAGCGGCGATGGAAGATGGAGATGAATATATGTGCATTCAGTATTTTCTACACGTCATAGATAAAATCTGGTCTTCGAGGAGTTATTCGTTATGACGTGCATGTTGCTATATTAATCCGTCAGTAATTATTTTTAAATGTTAGTCGATGCTGGCTTTACTTTCCAAATAGACTAATTCAAAGAGTAAGCCTTTTGGTTTAATACACGAAACGTAGGATTTAAAGCAGATTTGATTAAAAAGGGCCATCCTGATCGAATACTCTAAAAAAAAACGATGTGCAGCCATTGTTTAGTACAATTACTCCATCGTAATTCATGCATCTAAATACTATAACGCCTCTCAGACGTGAAAGCGGGATGGCTATGAATACCTTGATGCGGTTGATGCCCCCGCGATGCGGAATGTTCACAAAGGTGAGCATAGGTTTGTCAGCTGCCTCATTGTTGGTTTCTTCATCAGAGCTTAAATAGCTATTTTCGTCATCGCTGCTGTCTTCTACAAAAAACGGTACTAGCGTATGATGATTAACGCCAAGATCTGCCGCCTCTCACCGTGGATCAGTTCGCCCATGTTTTTCAACTTGAACAGCACTACGGAATTTTGTTTCACGACTTCTGTCTGCGTTCCGGCCACCATGTAAAACGTAAGGGGGTAGCTCTCGACGACGCTGTTAGCAGAAGCGCGAAGACAGTCAAAACTTAAACAAGGATATGCTAAAAAAAACAGCAATACATTCCCATCGATCAATATAGCATGTAAGTATAGAGCTGTACTTGTTCTGAATCGGTGGAACATCCGATAGGCCGATTCATCGAATTCAAGCACTTCGCCTTCTTTCAGAGGTCGACTTTTGCCCGGTACATAAACCTGAAATTTCCACCATTATATTTAATAGCCAAACGTACGAAAATATTTCGGTATTATGAACGTCAGTCCCATTTTTTATACTTACACAGTCTCTCTACAACGTCTCAACGAAATACAGTCTTAGCACAGAATCCATCTAGTTTTACGAAAGTCTTACGAATAACGCAACACATCAACGTGCTTCTTTCTGCTTTCAACAAGCATAGGTTCCAGTAATGGCCTTATGAGGTGTAAAAAAACTGACTCCGTTTGCAATCCACTTGCAACGAGCTGCAGAACTTCAACATGCGTCGCCTCTCGAGTCAACTCCTTATCATCAATGGTACAAATTGATCGTAACCCTGAGGTGTCGCAGCAAACAATTACTCTCACCATCAGAGACTCCATGCGATGCAGACTACTTTTGGTCACGTTGTGAGACTGAACAGTATCAATTAAACCGACTCCCTCGTTATTTCTTGCAACGTCTCTTGTTGATCTCCATTCGACTCGGGGACCGAGAATTTTCTTTTTCTCTACTGTTCGATCTATCGAACGAGAAGCACACATGCTCGGGAAATCACGCGTCACAGCATATACTTATAGTGCTGACATAAAGACTGTATTGTGAATCTCAATGAACGCAGAGAGACCGACAGAACTGCAGAATAGTTTCATTAAAAACAATGCCTTCCGATACCGTTTACTCCAACGTAAGATTCCACATGACAGTGACAATGGTGGGCTTAAAAATAAGCGGTGAACAATGTTTGCTATATTTATGATGAAGATAGCATAAAAATCACATTTTCAAAATTCGTATTTCCATAACAAAGTTACTTCTTTTTTGGCTTTCTTTTTTTCGATCGACCTTTCTGCATCTTCAGGTGTGCCCCCTTCTTCCACACAACTCGACATAGGCTCCTCATCCAGTTTTTCATCTTCGACTTTTGGCTCTAAGCCAACTGGCTCGGATTCCATTTCTTCCTCCTTCGAAACGCTCGGCATCACTTCTACCTTAGGTTTCAGCGACCGATTCTAGATGCATTGGAACGTGAAAAGAAATATCAAAAAAACCTTAAAAATAAAAAATAAATTTCAGTCACCTATGAGAGTAATGAACCAACATTCTACGTTAGCACAGAGCATACAGTTATCGCATTTACTTTTCACACTCGGCATTCCCATAAAAGTACTTGAAGAATCATCTAACCAAAACACCTTACTTAAATCTGAAACACGAACATTTTGCTGTACCCACTTGAAAATTTCAAAGCAGTTATTAAGTTGTTCACTTGTATTTCATTTCCGGATACTTCCTTTATAGTGCTTAGTAGCAAAAGTTTCAAAACAAGAAATAATGTCCATTTTCCTATATACTTCCTTTTCGTTAAGCATAAGATTTTACTATGATTATTTGCGCAAAATGGAAAGTAGATGGAGTCTTTTCATGGAATAAAGCATTTTACTCAAAATGAGATAATTCAAATCAGTAGAATAATTGTTAAACAACAGTGTTAGTTTACCCATCTGTTCATCAGTCGGGGGTAAAAACAACTGCGTACATAAATTAAAAACAATCGTCGATATATCTTCTGAAGAAATTTGAAATCAGGATGGGGCTCGTATCGCCGGCCACATTTTCAAAGCATTCGATGGAAATGTCAGCAAAGATGCGGAGAAATGGATACCACAAAGTTGCTTAATTAGTTTTTATTATAAATCTACCATGAAGACGAAATAATTCATCTGTTTAATACAAAAAGTTAATTTTATGACAAAATTACATGATAGACCAGCAAGTTCTTTTAACAAATCTGCGAATCTTCAAAACTTTGTACAAAGTGACCATTTAGATTATATGTTCTTCAGTTTTTAGCAACATCTCTCAAATTCAACAGAACAACGTGACAGCGCACTTTTGATGAAAACTTAAAACCGACAAACCTTATTACCGTTCCCTTCAGAAACAAATTGTTTCCACTCTGAAATATTTTTGCAGAGATCTAAACTAACCGAGAAAATATTCGAACAAATCCGACATAAAAAATTCCCGAGTTATGCAATGAAGTGAATGAAATTAAGTAGGCTGAAGGAAACATTTCGAACAATTACAATGCCAAAGACTGATTCACCAATATTAATACTGACTATACTATAAATGACCATTGCCATATTAATATTATTGAATATTACTATACTGACGTTAATAAACTGTTTATTATTCATCCCATCGTGGATGGCAAGGAAGGTTGGAGACCGTGGCGAGGTCTCCCGTAAAACCTAGTGATCTGATGCTCATGATATTGCCTTTATCAAACGATATAATAAATCAGACGTCGTCCAGTTACCAATGGTAGTGAAAGTGAGGCACATGCGAAAACTCGGCGATCAGATCTTGCTTCACGCCATCAGGCAGCTCGGGGTGCAGCAACGTTGCAACGACTGCCGAAGATGGACAAGACGAAAAAGATGCCCATCAGTAACACAGCCGCTACCTGTTCGGAGGAGGCAGACAGCGCAATGTAATTATGGGACGTCACATACTCTGAGACTGCCTATCTTTCCACCTCGGAGGTGGCGAATGGTCTGCCAGAAAACTTTGTTTGCCGTGCGGAAATTCGACTCCAGCGCCTTACCGAACTTCTCCCAGGAATTAGCTTTGGCTTTCGCCACTGCATTCGCTGC